CAAGACAAAATCGCTGAGAAATTAGGACAGCCTGCAATGAATGTTCGCCTCAGGTAATATCGCAGACCTGCAGTCTGCTTGACCCACTTTTAGTTGCCATAAATTCCCAGCTTTAAAGTATGTTAGAAGTCTGGTCACATTTTTTAATTGTACAAACCCCCACACCATCTCTAACACATACTACTACTTCCTCTCACAGACACAGAAGGAATGGCAACAGAGCACTAACACCACTAAATGGTGATGAAAGACTGGATAGCCTGGAGGGTGTGGCTGAATACGGACGTGCCCAAATTTGGTGTCAGGTAAACTAATTGCCATTTTTGACTGACAGCTATCGGTGACTTAAAGGAATAGTTCTCCCAAAAAAGAAAATTGTCATTATTTACTCACCCTTATGTCGTTCCAAATCTGTATAAGTTTCTTTCTTGTGTTGAACACAAAAGAAGATATTATGAAGAATTTTGAAGTACCAAACAGTTGTTGGTCCCCATTGACTTTCATAGTAAGTCAATGGAGACCGTCGACTGTTTGATTACCAGCATTCTTCAAAATATCTTCTTTTATGTTCAACATAAAAAAGAAACTCATACAGGTTTGCAACGACACGAGGGTGAGAAAATAATGACAAAATGTTCATTTTTGGGTCTACTATCCCTTTAATATAATTTTTGTACCACTACGGTCACCAAACAGAATTGCAAAATTCTAGTTTGGTTAGCTTATCTTGCCAAAAATGTCTTCCAGTGATTGAGCTAGTGCTTGCACAGTCACAGTGTTTACACCATTTGAGGAAATCAACCTATAAATGCTTTACCCTTTTATTAAACTCCATGAACTTTGATCTATTATGAATCAATTATGCAATTTTTTATATTTTGGCAACCTGTTTTATCCATCTTGTCCCAAGAACGAGGAACCTCTGGCCAACAGGGCCATTCTCTATCAGATGGTGGCACTGTATGACTACAATGCACAAGGCCCAGAAGATTTGGAATTCAGTGAAGGCGACACAATTGACATTCTGAGTGAAGGTACATAAACACAGGGGTATCTTTTTGTTATTAATGTTACACACAAGTGATGGAGTAAGACAAGTATTTTTTTCCATTTTGCAGTGAATGATGAGTGGTTAGAAGGACATGTTGCTGGAAATATCGGCATCTTCCCTCGAAGTTTTGCTCATCGGGATACAGACAGCATCAGTGGGGCATCAACAGATTGACACAGCCTCTAAACATCAACAGTGGCTGTATTAGCCTTCAGTGAATAAGAACTTTCTCATGTGCATCGACAGTCTCAAGGGGTCCATCTGTTAAAAATGACAGTATTTATCTTCATGCCAAAATGTGTCTGTGCCTAACTGCTGTCTCAATGAACACGATCACAATAACTTTTGAGCATACATTTTAAAACTTGAAATCAAAATAATTCCTCCTCTCCATATTTTTTTTCCTGTTCTAAATGTGAATTTTCCATAACCTTTTCCTTGATTTATTTTTCCATTTACTTAATGAGATTACAGCAGTCTTTAAGTGCTTTTAACTGGAAAATAATATCATTAGGGAATTTAAGATGTCTGAAATATATTACGTATAATGGTACCAGAACATCCAAATTCTGTCTAAATTAGATGCCAACTGGAAACTCCTGGCTCGCCTTACAGAGTGAGTTCATTTAATATTAATAGAAAAGTGAGAATTTCAGGTACTTTTTGAGATCACAAAACAGGGCGGCTAGAAGCCAAATCCAAAGTTTTAAATAATGCTCCATGGGATGCTTGCTTTAGTTTACATCATTGCCACCCACCTCTTCTTAACCTGCAGCTGACATATCTATCATATACAAACTGAACAGCAGTGCAGAAAAAGAGATGATTTAACTTGCATCACACCCATACAATACACACCGCTGGCAGATTTTATTTCTGACTTGGTCAGATGTCATAAAATGGCTTTTAAATCACCCTTGTCCTGTAGTGAGAGCTGAATACACCTCAGCGAGGTATCTGTAATGCAGTGTTTAAAGGCGTGGTGTGCTCTGTCAGACCGGGCACTTGGGCATGGCACTGCAGCGTACGATCCCTCTGCTCTTTTATATTGCTGTAATTATGGGGTTGGCAGAGCCCAGCGTGACGCACATTTCCCTCAATTCCCATTAAACATTCTGCTATTAATCAAAGCCGTACCGCATTCTGACCCAACGTTTACCGATCAGTTCTTCCCCTCCTACCTTCTGTTCCTGGATTTTTATTTGTCAAAGAGTGAAATTTGGCATCGTGTTTATGAGCTGTTGTATAAGTGTCAGGGAGTTATACCGTTTAACATGTTTCAGCGTCAAAACAAGCTTCTGTCAGTTGTAACTGAACTGTATTTCTGAACTGTATTTGGGTCTTTGTGTAGCACAGCCAACGGCTGCAATTTAATGGCCTTGACTGAGCAACCCGTCATAAAAGTTAGTTGTTTATTCTGTACATCACTTGCTCTGTACTCAAAAGATAATGTTGGACTCTTTATCAAGAAAGCAGACAGCCGAAAACAGCCAACTATGATGGTGCATGGGGAATCTTAAGCCAAGAGAACAGGAGTTACTCAAATTAGGTTAAACCAACCCAACCACACAGCTTCATTAAATCACTCTCACAAACACGCGTACACGGACGGAGAAAGAAAGGACAAGGGAAGATATTTGGTATTTTAGCACTTAATTGAATTTCTGGCATACATTTTGGAGCACTTTTGAGTGTGTATGTGTGCTTTTGGTAAGTGAGTCATAGTTATGCGTGACTTACAGCTGAAGTGTATTCACTTATACAGTGCATAAAGATCAATGAGCATCTCTATTGTCTCATTTAGGCCCATTAATTGTTCATTAATTTCTGCCACCATGCGTTGATGCCAAGAGCGGTAATTGCAAATTAGCAATGAATTTGACTCTTTTGCTGCAATGTCACCATCTTAAAGGGCTGTAAATCAGTGGGTTGGACACCTGGAAGAACGAAGAAAGTTCAGTTGAGAGGGTCTATAGATGTTTAGTCTCATTATCATTTTAAGTCAGTCATTTAACTACTGAGGCTGCTGTCATTTATTTTAATGTTTAGTACACGTTTATTTGATTATGCTGCACTCTGTTTTGTTTAATTTGTATTATTGATATTTTTAATCATTTTATTTAGCATAGTTCATATATACAGTCTCCCTGGCAAAACAAATGCACTTTGTTGCTGTCGGGCCAGTAAAACGCACTACACTAAAACTGGATTGGGTCAATGCAGAAACGGATGAGGTTAAATACAGCCTTAAAGGGAGCAACAGTCTGTCCATATGAGTTTATTAATAGCCCTCAATGAGACTATTGGTGATCTGTAGGTTGTGGATGTCTGCTGACAGGCCTTTCTAATTCCTCTTTATGAGCTTAGAGGATGACACGTGTGTTTTAACTGAGCTTCCACAGCAGCTGAAATCCACAGACTGACCTAAAACCTTGCTGGTTGCCTTTTGAGCACATTAGACAGCCTACATAATAAGGATAATTGTTATTGTTTAAAACAATTCATGGACTGCCATGAATGTGCAGTATGGATTATGCAGCTTTTCTCAGCAGATGCAGTATTAGACACAGCCTCTGTGAGAGTTGGGTTCTCACAACACCACCCTGATTTGAGCAAAGCTGTGTTTTAGATGTGATATTACTCTCTTTTCCCAGGCAGACACAAGGGATTAGAGAGCTTCAGGTATAAATGGAACTCTCTCAAATAAAGCACACACACACACACATAAATGCATCCAAACACTGCCCTCGTTTTGTAAATCTGTTCAAAACAGCTTTCACTGCCCCGTCTTAACTTAGGATAAGAAATCAACTGTAAGATTGAAATGTAAGGGCCTTTAGAATTTCATCTGCACCGAGATATTTCTTTTTAAAGTGTTCCAAAGGAAAATGTCAATCATAATCGGGTTTGGTTTTCATTAGTCATTACTAAAAAATGTATTTAGGTCACTACTATTCTGGAAGTTTTTCTGTATTTAATGGCTCTCTGGAACACTTGATTCTGATTGGTCAGTTGTGGCTTTGCTAGGTCAAATATTTTTGATCTCTAAATGGGATGTTCCACCATTGCCATACAATTTTTATGTTTCATTGCAGATTGATAAATTAATCTTTTTTAATTAAATATTAAATCATAAGTATGTTGCAGTATTCGTCAACTAAAATAAATATGTTCTAAGAACTTCTTGCTAACGTTACCATTAAATTATGAAATGTTCTCTGAACTTTCAAAACGTCCAGTTTGTCTAGGTTATGGGAGCGTTTTATTTTATTATTTTACAGACATTATGGAAGTGTTACTTTTGACGACCACGAATGTTCAACTAAAATGTTTCAAATGCATTCCATAAACAATGTAAATAATACATATATAAACTTTGTGTAACTTTATATAAGACCAGTTTATATTTAACTTTGAATGAACATTCTATTAACGTTACTGAAAGAATGATCACCTTGGAGAACCTTGACAGAATGTTAGCCAACGTTCTGAGAACGTCTCCTGTTAGCTGGGTTGTTGCTAGGCCAGACTATTTTTCTGAGCAGAATCTATAGGCGCTAAGCTACAAGATAATGATTTATTACAAATTAAATCAACATTTCATGGGACATGACAGCCAGAGCCAGTGATAATGTTATCGCCCTATCGTTGTTTATTTTTAAACAATGACAGGCTGGACGTACATGATCCCTTAAAACAAAAAAGGAATGAATGAATAACATTGAGAGGATCTGCCTATGACACATTCGTCTGAAGTTGAAATCAGGTGGCTGTGGTTTCGACTGTTTCCCTTTGAGAACTTTTACGTTAAGTGCGCAATGCTCTTTGGAGACTACTTATTTTTCAATTGATTAACGTCAATAACCCGGTGGGCCTTGAACATTAAAAATAGCTCACGCACAGGAAAAATGTGGTTTAGTTTGTCTAAATGCGTTCCTCACAGTTGTTTGTTCCTAAGCAACAGAGGCGCCTCGCGCGTGCGTCATTTCCTCCAGAGCGCAGTGTCGGTATCTCACTACGGACTCAGTAGTAGCGACAAGCAATCCGAGCGAGCCGCACTGACCAGACGCGCTGCTCTTCTGAGCGCAGCTGCCAAACTTTAAACGTTCTTGCTGTGTTTTTGTTTCTTTCGCGGAGCCGGACGCGTCTCTCCACCCGTTTCTCATCGCACAGTGTGTTCCCAAAAGGATTAAAGTCACTATAACGGACGTCAAATCCTCGCGGGACTTAATTCGGGTTTGTTGTTTGCCTTTGGAAGAACAGTGTACTTTTTCCACTATTCAAAGTGATTAGTAAACCAACTTCATTAATAATCAAAAGTTTCGAAACGGCATTGCACTAGTTATTCTGCGTTGTTAGTTTGAAGACTCAACCCAGCATGGCTGCTCTCACCACTGGTTTAACGCACGAATCGCGGTGCGCTTCTGTTTTTAGCAAGAGGCAGTGACCGTGCTCTGTTCCTAATGCCTGATGTGAAATCCCCCTGTGGTTTTGAGGTGTCCGAGAATGAGCACGGATCTGGAGCGCGCTTCTCTCAAGTCGGGCTCGAACTCCCTGGGCTCCGGTGGCCGCGCGCTTTCCGTTAACGTCAAGAAGTTGCACAACACGCTCAACGTGCTGCTCAACGACTTCGAAAGGGAGCAGTTCATCCACTGTCTCAACGTTTACCACGCCAAACGCAATGTCTTTGATCTCGTGCAGACTCTCAAAGTCATTCTCAACACAGCCAACAAGCGCCAACTCTTACCCATGCTGCGCCTGGTCATACCCCGCTCGGACCAGCTGCTGTTCGACCAGTACACATCGGAAGGGCTTTATCTGAAGACGGATCTGCTGGCGGCCAGTGTCACGCACGAGTGCTCGGAAGACCTCAGCAGCACGAACGCGCATGCTGGAGCATCCTCCGTGCACTTTCTGCACGAGTCCGAGCAGGCCGGTCCCAGTCACGGATCCGTGCGCCAGGCTCTGGTTTTCAGCACCGCGGCTGAGGGGACAGCGCCAGCGCCGATGCAGGAAGCGCCTGATGAAATCCGCCAAGTTACGCTGAAAAGGAGCAAGAGCCACGAAGGCCTGGGATTCAGCATACGGGGTGGGTCAGAGCATGGAGTTGGCATCTATGTGTCTTTGGTGGAGCCGGGATCATCCGCTGAGAGAGAGGGGCTCAGAGTTGGAGACCAGATCGTGCAAGTCAATAACATGGTGTTTGACCGAGTCACTCATGGAGAGGCAGTAAAGGTGATGTGTGATCTCTGTCTTAGTGTGTGTGAGTGAACGTGTGTTTTTGGCAGTGTTTTAAACATTTCACGTCGTAAGAAATCTTTTCTGGATCTGCTGAGTCTGAAATGATTCACTGAAAAAACGAAGACCCGTTATAAGGGACATGTTTGATGCACTTGCATATGTAATTGTTGGTCTTTTACCATTTCTGACTGTTCTTTTAATCATGCAGAAACGTTCCCAGTGAAAACCAAATGGGACATACTGAATATAAATAAAGATATGTATACAAACTAAAAGAATAATAGTATTAAAATACATTAAGGATGGTTTGACTGCCCTACATACTTCTGGTGGGGAATCGCTGCTTTACAGGTATCTGTCAGTGTGGCAGTGTGAGGAGCCCCAGTTGGTCTTTTCATTTTTACAGTGTTGACTCCTTTTTTGTACCAAACAGCCCCATTTGCTTTCCCCCTTCCTCCTCTCATCCTGTAAAGTCCTTCACCAGAGTCACAGCCCTGCAGAAAAATCTTTGGCCAGAGTCCCAGTCAGAGTTACTGGCTTTAGCAGGGCTAAAATCAATCTTTAATTTTTTTTTCTTGCCCACTTGATTACACAGTACTATGTACTAACTTTTGGCCTCAACCCCAACCCGGCCACTGGCAGTGTGACTAAACCATCTCACTTGCTCTCTTCTCTTCACATGGTCCTAATCCTGGTCTTTTTTTAACACATTTGCTCTCATTCCCCATGTGTGTCCAAAGGTAATTTCAGGAAATTGGATAATTGACTCAAAACACCCCATTGGATCTGTGGTGCTGGTCTCAGGCATTGTGAAAAGAATTGGAAGTATGATGTTTTATCAACTGTAACGTCCAGTTAGAGATTTGCCTGTGGTGGAATCTATTATCATCTCTAATTTTAGTTCTAGATTTGAGAGTTAAATCATAGGTTACATAACAATTGAAGCTTATACAGTTTGCAGAAGAAGAGCAATGACAGGCAGCCACCTCACTCTTACTTTCCTCTCCTCTTTGCTCGCTTACTCTCTCTCTTTGACTATTTGTGTGGGCAGGCTCATTCTGTGTTTGTTTTATTTTTTATTTTTCAAGCGTTCATGTTAGACTGCTGAGGGAAGTGCAGCATTCTTTTGTATTGTCCTTGCTTTGTTGTACTGCCTGTCTTACTCATGTCACAGTCTTGTTTGCCTGTCAGAATTGAATTCACAAACTAAAAAAAGCACAGAGCAAATAACAATGTGAGTCAAATCGTTGCATGAAAGCTCAGTCCTGTATCAGCTACACTTGGCTTTGCACTATTCAGACATTTTTTGCTTTCTGTCAATCACACCAGCAGTATCAAGTATAGCTGTTTAATTACATTAATATTGTATTTTATATAGCGGAAGTTCAGGGCCTGACATCTGTTTGTGAAGCTTGATTGAGCGAGTCAGTCTGTCTTGATTGCAGGTTCCATATGGAGGGATTAAAAATGATTGACCATGCTTACTCAAAGTGCCAGCCTGTAAGCATTTCTAAATAAAGATGTTTGAGGTGAGAATTGGCCGTCTCACATTGCCTGTGAAGTTTACTATGAAGCCGAGGTGTGAATTAAGCTGATTTGACAATATCAGAGTTGTTAACATGATATCTTATGGAAGATGACATGACCTTTAACTTTAAGGCACGCTTGTCCATGTTGCATCTTATTCTGGACTCACTGGACTGACCTACAAATTGGCCAACCAGGATTGTCACATTTTATTTATACAAAAAAAAAAAAGTCTGTGTTAACATAATAATACACTGAAGATTTTAGGCATGCACGATTTTAGAGAAATTATTTTTCTGGAAAAATTGTGATTTCAAAATATGTTGTTATAATCTCTAGGTTGCGTTCAAAAAATAATAATATTTTAATTTGAATAATAATAAAATATTAAAATAAGAAATATTGTTGTTGTAATTCACTGTTAAAAAATATAAGAAAATAATGCAATAATAACAACAACAATTTTTCAACAGTACAACTGCAAAATTATAATACTAATATTTATGGTATTGATGTCATCATTTTCAAACCTTAAACCATCAAGCTTGCATTTTGGTGGGAAACCATAGGGAGCATTTAAATCCTTTAGGTTTGGGAAGATGTTTGGGGTCCCAAATGCAATCTATAAGCAACCAAAAACAGAGTAGATGCAGAGATGTAGTTTTTGTGGAGCACCATTAGCTGCTTGTATGTAAATTAATGCAGTGCTCCACTTCACTATAAAACACACAGTACATATATTTATTTTATTATAAATGAATCAGTAGCATTTCCTCCAAGGATGCATGGGAGGCACTGTGTCCTGAAAAATTTGGATGAGAAAAAACTACGAAAATAAAACAATGCAAATATTACAAAATATGACAAAAAGCGTATAAATCACACAATTTTCTAAAGTAAATCTGTGCAACAGCAACACCAAGCAGGTAAAGTTACAGCGGGAGACCGCGTCTCTCTCTCGCCTCCCCTGAGCTCATTGAGTTTTAACAGACCCCCTAAAGCCTGCGGTGGGTTTGTTGGGGGGTAATTGAGAATGAATGGAGGAAAGTCACGTGAGAGGACGCAATGCCTCCATCACGATATGATTGGATATGACTGGTTATGTTTGGCTGTGATTGGTTCATGCGATAAATCCCAACTCTTGTGTTCGTGTCTGTTCTGCATTCACGAATCAGTCTGGATGAACATATATATAATGAATATAATGGCGTTAATGGGAAGACTGATTAAAAAAGCAAGTTAGTAAACAACTCACACACTTATATATACATCACCATTTTGTCAAGTCAAAATCAAACTTCAAATGGCCTGAAAACATAATCTGAGGGTTTTTTTAGTGAGAAATCAGCTTATTAAAATTAAAGGAACTTCTCTGCATCTGTGACCACTGACCAGTTCACCAAGCTCTAATGGCTGATGTTCCAGAAATAAGATTATTATGAAAAAGAACAGCTGTCACGTGAGAGGACGCAATGCCTCCATCACGATATGATTGGATATGACTGGTTATGTTTGGCTGTGATTGGTTCATGCGATAAATCCCAACTCTTGTGTTCGTGTCTGTTCTGCATTCACGAATCAGTCTGGATGAACATATATATAATGAATATAATGGCGTTAATGGGAAGACTGATTAAAAAAGCAAGTTAGTAAACAACTCACACACTTATATATACATCACCATTTTGTCAAGTCAAAATCAAACTTCAAATGGCCTGAAAACATAATCTGAGGGTTTTTTTAGTGAGAAATCAGCTTATTAAAATTAAAGGAACTTCTCCGCATCTGTGACCACTGACCAGTTCACCAAGCTCTAATGGCTGATGTTCCAGAAATAAGATTATTATGAAAAAGAACTGCTGAACATCAGTTCATAAATAAAATATATAATTGTTTAAATTAAATATATATTTTTTCAAAATGTTACTGCTCTGAGTTATTATTTTAGAATACATGTAAAATGCTTAAAAACACTAAAATGATGAGATTTATACTTTGTTTATTTAACCAAGAAAATGTGACTTAGACATGAATTCACATTTACTAATAATAGAAAAAAAACTTAAATGTGAGGACTTTGCCTCCTCATTTCAGAACACCGCTGCATGCCACTGATATGTATATATTTATTTTTTATTCATCACCGCCGTTGCGATGTTATTATCTCCCTAAGCCATATCATGATTTTGGTTTTCAATTAATTGTGCAGCCCTGCTAGCTTTTTAAAATAATAATGCATCAGTCTGCAATGCAAATAATTGTTTGTTTTAGTTGCAAATGTGTTTATTCTTTGTGGTCAAAATGTCCGTCCATTCAAATGTAATAAGTAGCTACTGAATATCTTATGAACATAAATCTGGAAACAAAGCAATACTTCAACCTGAAAAGTCACCTACAAGATTCAAAGTGTTTCATCATTAATTGCAGTTTGTACAGTATTATGGGATTCCTGTACAGTTGTGCTATATTAACAGCCGGTTTGTAGATTCCATTTATTTGCAGTTGTGATGATTGATATGCAAAAAGGAGACCGACTGAGAGCAGAATAAGCTCAGATAAAGCCCAGAGGACGGGCCACATCTGTAGTCAAATCTCCGGGTTATCATCATTTTTTGAAAATGTAATATCACAAATGAGATCTCTTCGTCATTTCAATTATTTTTCCCAGTGCACATATTGCGAAGCTTTTACGGGCTGCTCCGAAACTGTCCACAGATCCCTGTGGTTTAGGACACTGAAACTGCGACAGAAAACATTGTGTTTAATTATTAATCCTCGTAAAACTGGATTACAGTGCTTTTTATGGTATCTCTTTATACTTCAACCTGAAAAGTCACCTACAAGATTCAAAGTGTTTCATCATTAATTGCAGTTTGTACAGTGTTATGGGATACCTGTACAGTTGTGCTATATTAACAGCCGGTTTGTAGATTCCATTTATTTGCAGTTGTGATGATTGATATGCAAAAAGGAGACAGACTGAGAGTAGAATAAGCTCAGATAAAGCCCAGAGGATGGGCCACATCTGTAGTCAAATCCCTGGGTTATCATCATTTTTTGAAAATGTAATATCACAAATGAGATCTCTTCGTCATTTCAATTATTTTTCCCTTTTTTATTTTTCTCATGAGAGAAAAACCCCATTGCGTAAATTATTAAATAACTGTCACAGTCTTCAGCTGGTGTGCCTAGGATGGCCACCAGAGGACACTGTGTGTTTGTGTAAGCACATGGCTTGTGTCGTTTGTTTGGTGCCATGTGCTTTCTCCTGTCCATTGTCTGACCCCGCCCATCTTGTTACCTCATTATTGTTTCAGTTATTCCACCTGTGTCTCCCTCACTACCTGCCCTACTTGGTCTCCCTGTGTTTGCAGTCCTGTACTGTTTCGTTTAGGGATGCACCGATATGAAAATTTTGGCCGATACCGATAACCGATTATTCTTTATTTTTGAAAGCCGATAACCGA